AGTAGAACCAGTGGGTTATCACCAGTTGGTCGCAGGCTGGTCTCAAAGCCTGACCTCAGGAGTGCTACCTGCCTCAGCCTCCCAATGTGCTAGGATTACAGGTGTGGAGCCCACTGCCACCCAGCCCCCCATATGTTGATTTTTAAAAACATTTGCACAATATTCATATGACTGCCAATCAAGGTTATTTTTCAGAGATTAAAATCAAAATTCACAGTACCCTCCTTCCCTAGTAACCCAACATCTCTTGGACGTTAAGTCCTTCACATGCGCCAGCCCTTGTCCTCTTATTCTACCAAAGAGTTCAGGAACAAGTGCACTGGCAGCTGGCTAGAACAAAAAGAACCATTTGATGAGTTTGGCAGCTGGTCTAACTCTTCCTAATAATTTTTTTCTCTCATACATTTTTAGCTGCTTGCCTTTGTTTTATTAGAAAATCAGAAAGCCACACACAACTCTTCTGCTAATTCTGAGTTACATCCAGTTATCTATATACTTAAGTCTCTATGACGATAAAAGTAGAGAGGTGTTTATTAGGTGCAAGAAACAGACTAAGCACTCTGCATCTGAAGTCTTGTTTAATCGAGGAGGCAAGTATCAGTATTTCTGCAGTGGAAGAAACAGACCAAGAGAGGGCAAGTATCTAGACCAAAATCAAAACTGCTAGTAACTGGTAATGCTACCTCAGGGCTGTCACACCTCAAAGCCCTTGCTTATAACCACTACACTATGCTGTCTAAACAAAAACAAAAGAAAGTCAAAAACCCGACAAAACTAAATTTAAATCTATGTTAATCTGTTGTATCAATATCTTTCAGTATACATTATTGGAAAATCGATTCTCCTTTGACAACAAGAGCAATTTTTAGATGTCACTGAGCAAATGTATGTTTTCAAACAAACAAAAGGTAAATAAAGCAAATAAACTCACCGCTACATGTTTTCCCATCTCTCTCAAGCACTGAGCCTTCAGGACAGAAACATAAGGGACCTTCTGACGTCAGAACACAGTTATGGCTGCATTCAGACACATTGCTTGGACAGGAAACAAGTTCTAATTAATAAAGAAAAAGGTCAAGATTAGTGTTAAATCAGGTTTGTAAAAATTTATTGCAATCAGTTTCTAATATTGCTAATATTGCCAGGTGATCCTCCTGCCTTGACCTCCCAATGTGTTGGGATTACAGGTGTGAGCCACTGTGCCTAACCTTAATTTTTTAATGTATAATAATGGTATTGTGGTTATGCCTGAAAATTAACTGGATATTAAATGAAAGGAAGGAATTATAGTTAAGTTTTTTAGATATAATAATGTATCATGATTATGTTTTTTACATGCCTATCCTTTAGACATATACCATGAAATGTAGCACCTAATAGCTATTTTTAAAAATTAAAATAAAAAAGAGACAGACAATGAAATATAAGGTAATACAAAGAAACAGGAAAATATCAATAATAAATAGATGGTAGATGATTTGTTTCCCAACCTTAGAGATTCTGCTTTGATAGGTGTGAAGTAGAGTCCAGTTGTCCATGGTTTTTGTTTTGTTTTGCTTTTTGAGACAGGGTCTCACTCCATCACCCAGGCTAAAGTGCAGTGGCTTGATTTCAGCTCACTGCAGCCTCCTCCTCCTGGTTCAAGTGATCCTTCTGCCTCAGCCTCCTGAGTAGCTGGGACCACTGGCATGGGCCAACATGCCTGGCTAATTTTATTTTATTTTATTTTATTTTTGTATTTTAGTAGAGAGAGGGTCTCACCATGTTGCCCAGGCTGGCAGTCATCCACGTTTTAAAAAGCCAAACAAAATAAAACTCCAAGGTAATTATGATGCACACTGCTGATTGAAGATCACCAACCCAGATCATAGCCACCTTAGAAACATATTGAAAATGAAGAAAAATAATGCAATAAATACTTGTTGTTATGACTTACGATGACATCGTTTCCCATCAGGAAGCAGAACAAATCCTACAGGGCATGTGCAGTGATAGGATCCAGGGGTGTTTTTACACCCAAGAGTACAGCCATGATTCCAAAAAGCACATTCATTAACATCTGCACAATGACAACAGCAAAATACATTCAAATGGCTATTTTTGAAAATAAGTTGTGCTATCACTAATAAGTCATCACAACGTAGGGTATCTCACATTTGTATATGCTGTAATTGATCATGGAAAGTCTATTTTCCATACTCTAGCAAAAGGTAAAATAAGTCAATTCAATGATGATGAAAGCCATTTCTATTCTGTCACATTGCATTTTGTTTTCCCTCGGACAGAGTCTGGCTCTGTCACCCAGGCTGGAGTGCAATACCATGATCTCAGCTCACTGTAACACCATGATCTCAGCTCACTGCAACCTCTGCTTCCCAAGCTCAAGTGATCCTCCCACCTTGGCCTCCTGAGTAGCTGGGACTACAGGTGCACACCACAACCCTTGGCTAATTTTTGTATTTTTTGTAAACATGGGGTTTTGCTATGTTGCCCAGGCTGATCTTGAACTCCGGGATTCAAGTGATCTGCTTGCTTTGGCTTCCCAAAGTCCTGGGATTACAAGTGTGAGTCACCACGCCCGGCCCAGCTTATACTTTCAAACACAGATTTTCATATTAGAATTACCCTTGGAAAAAATGTAGTATTATTTCCTTTGAAAAGATATACCATGCCATTTAACTTAGGGATTCTTGAAAGCTCTTTACAAGCTTAGGACATTTCCTATTGTGCTCTTCACCCTTTAAGACTGATCAGAGCCCTTTCCCTAAATGTGAAAACCTTCTCCAGCAGTTTTATTCTGGCTGAAGCCCCGGCCTTCCAGCTCACTGTTTCCATGCCATGGCTTTCACCCACTGGTCCCACGTAAGCAAGGGGTTATAATTAACAGGCAGATGCTAGATTTACCTGAGGTCTCACCCCAGCTAATTCCACTGGATGTGTGCTGCAGCCATTGGATTATTTTCATCACTAAACTACTGCACCTTCCAGGAAAAAGGATATAGTTTTTCTCCTGGGTTCATTGCACTTGATCCAGAATCTGACAACAGGAGGATCCCTAGACAACCAGCCTGATTCAGTTTCCCAAGCTTCCTACTAGATCTTTTTGGGATAAGAGTCACATACTCTTTGAGAATCTTATGATCCCTATGAAACCACTCCCCTAAAAATGTACGCATACTGAAATTTTGCACACAAACGCAGAGGTTGGTAGAATCCACTTAGAGAATCCCTGCCTTATATCAACCCCTAAGCATCCTCTCAGAGTATTTGATCTAGAAACACAAGATATGAAGAAGATAGGAAAGTATTACAAAGGCTTTACAAACAAGAAAAAATAAATAAAAAATAGTCTTCAGAGGTTGTGCGGGGGAGGGGGAGAATGGACTTGAAGTCGGTTTTCCATTGAGGTTCTGGCTAGCCCACTGAAGACAAGCCACTGGCTCAGCTGGGCATTCCTCCCCTCAAGCAGCGACTCTTCCATTACTTTCACAGTACTTTCCGTCATTACCTTCACAATACTTCCGGTCTCGACTTAAGGCGTATCCCTCTGCACACGTGCACAAGTGTGACTGGGCGTCTTGCCCACACACAGTGCTGCTGCAGTTTCCTTTCCTCGATTTGTGAAGTTTCTGCTCTAAAAGAGAAGATGCTTTATTTGGAGTGGAGCCGTGTTTTGACAGAGGACACTGCTAAATCTCTTCCTGATTCTCAAGAGGTCTTATCTCTTTGCAACGTCTGCAGCCACATCTCTCACGGATGCAAACTTAGCCAGAGCCCAGATTCCCCAGCATCCCAAAGCCCACTTTTTTCTCCAATTGTATTACTTCTCCAACACCTCTCAGGATTGGGCGTCCTGAGTAGCTGGAGATGTCATTTCTTAGGTTGCGAATGCTAAACACTACTTACTAGCTTTTTCATTCTAATTTACTTTTATCACAAAAAAGCAAACAAATTCTGCAAATGAAATAAATGAAATAATCTGCTTAAGAAATTAAAACAGATTCAAACCTAAGAATACTTTTTTTTCTGAGACTAGGTCTTCCTCTGTTGCCCAGGCTGAAGTGCAGTGGCACGATCTTGGCTCACTGCAACCTCAGCCTCCTGTGTTCAAGCAATTCTCCTACCTCAGCCTCCCAAGTAGCTGGGATTACAGGTGCACACCACCACATCCGGCTAATTTTTGTATTTTTAGTAGAGACAGGTTGACCAGACTGGTCTCAAACTCCTGACCCCAAAGTGTTGGGATTACAGGCGTGAGCCACCATGCGTGGCCAAGAATACTTTTTAAGTGTAATATTTATAGGTTAGATATGTAAGCTATTTAGCTGTTTTTAATATCATTATTTAATGAACATCTTTCAGACTCAATATATACCATTGCTATATCTCTGCTCCTCAAATTTCTGAAGTTATTGCTGCCAGCGTCCCATATGTTCCAAATATCCCATAATAAATCGTAAAATCTGCTCAGTGAGTTGGGTGCTTGGGTTGAATTAGCCAGCTATATTGAACAAGGGGTCAATTTTGTACCATTGATTTTCAGAGCCAGAATCAAGTGCTAAACTAGTAATACCTACACTTGGCCCTCCATATCTGTGGATTCAACCAACCCAGGACTGAAAATATTTGGGAAAAAAAATTCCACAAAGCGAAGTTCCAGAAAACAAAACATGAATTTGCCATATGCCAAGCACTATGTTGAATTCACAGGAAGGAAGTGATGTAGGCATTGTATTAGGTATTATAAGTAATTTAGAGATGATTTAAAGTATATGGGAGGATGTGCCTAGGTTATATACAAATACACCATTTTATATTAGGGACTTAAGCATTTGCAGATTTGGGTGTCTTGGGGGATACCAATCCCCCATGGATACTGGGGGACAACTACATATCTCTTTCCAAAAAGTTAATGAGATTTTTGTTTCTTTTGCACCTTACTTTTTGCCCATTTTAAAAACAATAGGACCATTGTAAAATACTATGAGAAATACAGAAGTAAGCTTAAGTGTAAGGGCAGATACCTAGAATGCAGATAGATACAGAGGCCAGAGGTCTGGCAAGAGGTGAAGGCCAAGGAAAACTACTGGGGTCATGGATTTTGAAGCCATGGCATTGTTAAAATCAGCTGGAACTGATGTATCGCGGAAACTGCTGAGGACCTGAGGAAAGGACTGCTGAGAACACCACCACTGCTGGGAAGGACACAGGAAACAAATCAGCAAGAGCCTGAGCAAAGCGGGCAGAGGACCTGAGACTGTTCTCCAAGTAGGTTTGGTTTCTCTGATCTGTTTATCTACTGATAAAGAAGTCTCCTCTGTCTGTATCCATTTCCCTCTATTTCAAAACTCAAAAGATAAAATTTCAACAAATTTAATTAAAGGATCAAATTAGCTTTTATTTGGGATTCATGAATTGGCCAACATCTTGTCTAAAAATAGACAGATGCTACACTGGCCGTGGCAGCACAGTCAGTTTTGTGATATCGTTTGAGCAAGAACAAGAAAACAGCATAATGCATATCGTGGATTGGTTAACATCGGTTTACTTCAGGTTACTTTCCTCGTAAAGGTTAAACCAGAAGGGATTTCCGTATGATACCAGTTAAAGCTGACCTGTTTGGGGATTTGGCTATCATCTCTCTCCTGATACCTCAGGAGGTCAGATAAACAAGTTAGTTTTGGGTTGGTGATTGGAATTTTAGCATGAGTGACTTCATTTTGGTTTAGTCTGTTGGGGCCAATTGCAGGAGCTCAGTCCAAATCAGTTGCCTCCCACAAATTTTATTTAACATCACTAGACATGACCAATAACAGTAAGATTCAGTAGAAACATTTTCTTGCCCCCTTGAAAATGTCCCTAGCATACATTGAGATCACCAGAGAGTATGCCACCCTCTAAAGATTCTGATTTGGTAAATCAAAGGCTCAGGAATCTGCATTTTTACAGAATCAGGAGTGATTATATCAGGAGGCTGTTTCACACACTTTGAGAAGCACTGGCCTAATGTACTAGCGAAATACTACACCTTCATCTTAGTTACAAGTAATTACTTTTAGCTAGTCTGTGTTATTTCCTTAGTTATTTTGAACCTGTTGTTTCAATTCTCTTTACAGAATTAAATGCAAAATCAGTCTTGTTAACTCTCAATACCATTGCAGTATTACCTGCTAAATCAGTTAAGATTTACATTGAATGATCTTGTGGATAACTGATTCCAAAAATTTTATTTCTTGCCTATGGTTTTTATGCTAATTATACATGTATAGTTACATTATTTTTCATGTTCTATATGTTTCAGTTAAACTATCAAAATTTTAAGCAAAATTAAAAATAAAATGGCCTAAATTTTAAAAGTGAATGACTAAAATTGGAAACTTGTAAATATTGAAGACAAAATTCATCCACTATAAATTTCTTTTTAAAAAGCAGTAATAGTTTAACTTTTATTTTTATGAACTTTACAAGTGAACAACAACAAAAATCCAGAAAGGTTTGAGTTGGCCTTTTAATAGCACTGAAATGCAACCACTTTCTTGAGGTAACAAAAAATTGAAACACTATGCTTCTTACAAAAATCTTTCCTTTGCCTTATAAAAATCTTTCCAAACTCAGCATACTGGATGATTACTGGATTATGAATCAGGAAAACTGAATTTTGTCTTGGTTCTTCCTTTTACAGCATATCACTTTATCTCTTTGACCTAAGTTTCCTAATTCGCAAAATAAACTTGTTGAAATAGATATTTGCTGAGATCCCTCTTTTAAAAAAATTCTATAGTTATAAACAGAATTAAATGTTTGTGATAAATTCTTCTGAGTTTATACCTCTAAAGATTATCAAACCTTAATTACTGCTTATAGTATGGTAACAGAGAATCAAACTGTCTAATGAAGAAAATGACTATTGTCTCAGGTATTGAAAATGCTTTGCTCTTCTAGATCCAGTAATTTTTTTCTTTTTTCCCATACCTTTCTACTACCTCTCGCCTGGATTTATATCTGTTCTTATCAGGATCATCACCATCGTCACTACCACAATTATGTACATGCATCTTTTTTCCATCGATAAAATTCTGAGGCCAAGGCACAGTTATAGTCCCAGTAACACCTAGCATGGTGCCTTTTACAACATAGGCATCCAGTAAACGTTTAGAATACAACCACAAAAAACCCCTGTGATCATGCCACCTGCAACCTAACTCCCTATTTGTTTTTTCCTCAAAGTTCCAATCAACCTTAGAGCTAGAACTCAAAACAGTTTGTCACAAGATGCTAGCCTAGTACTTTTTCCACTGTACCATGCTGCTGATGGTTTTAGTGATGCTTATTGACAATATACATCTCTCTTCAATAATGGACATAGGCAGGAAAGAAATCACTATTCTCCTCTGCCTAGTTGTGCTGATGACATGACCTGAATTCAGACACTAAACACTTTAAAAGGTCATTTTAGGTGGTGGCAAAACACAGAGGATTGAGGGTTATATTTTCTTTAATCTCCTTAATCTTCTGCTGTTCTTTAGCTTCAAAATAGGCCAAAGCTAGCACTGAGAATGCTGCTGCTGACCTCAGATAACACCCCTTCTGAGAGCTGAGCAATGAGGCTTAATTACCTCTGAGATCATTAAAGCTCCTAATCATGGAGTTTAATGTCCACCACCAACTGCACCTTCAGTAACTGCCTGGCTAGGACACAGGCACTCACGGCCTTTACTACAGCACAGAGAATCTGTAGATTTTACCCTGGCCCAGTTCTGAAACAATGCACTTGGGATTCCCTTTCCTGTTTTTTTCCACCGATCACATCTTTGTCTACCTCAAATTCCATGTAAGACGCACCTCATCAACAAAGCCTTTCTAGTCTCTTCCATTCAAACCCATAAACTTTAGTCATTCTAAAGTCATAACTAAGTATTTGGCATCCCCAATATTTAGCACACAACAATAAAAATAACACTTTGTAAAGTATTTATGTTATCACATTTCATTTTCTTTTTTTTTTTTTTTTTCTTTTTTTTTTTTTTTTTTTTTAAAGACGGAATCTGGCTCTGTCACCCAGGCTGGGGTGCAGTGGCCAGATCTCAGCTCACTGCAAGCTCCGCCTCTTGGGTTTACGCCATTCTCCTGCCTCAGCCTCCCGAGTAGCTGGAACTACAGGCGCCCGCCACCTCGCCCGGCTAGTTTTTTTGTATTTTTTAGTAGAGACGGGGTTTCACCGTGTTAGCCAGGATGGTCTCGATCTCCTGACCTCGTGATCCACCCGTCTCAGCCTCCCAAAGTGCTGGGATTACAGGCTTGAGCCACCGCACCCGGCCCACATTTCATTTTCATAACAAGCCTTTGAGCTATACAGAGCAAGTATCATCTTCCATTTTACAGATTAGGAAATAGTGCCTTGTTAAGGATCATATAGAAAATAGAGTGTAGAACTGGGATGCTATTCCAAGCCTTCTGACCGTAACCCCCCTCTTTTTACCAGATACGTACAATTCTATGTGTGTGTGTTTATATTTATGCATTTGTATAAATATAAACATGCACATAAAATATATGTTCGTTTTATGAAATGTCTGTAAAAACCTGGTTATATTTTTGCTTCATTTGTTTATTGTCTTCATCATTAATGAGTTCTCAATAAATGACTGC